TTTGATTTTAAGAGAATCAAATCGAATCATGAACCAATGTTTTCTGTTCTTTCCCCCTCCCCATTTTAAAGATATGGAACAGAGCTGAACCGTTTAGTTCTATTTTGGTATGGTTCTAATTTCATTTCTTAAATTTTCAAGCTTGCACCACATTCGAAAGTTAGTAATATATACTAACAAACAAAATATACTCATAATTTGAATACACAATCAAATTTCATTCCCATACAGAAGATTGTTAATAAAGGATGAATTATGCATAACTTTTACAGTCCACTTTTACAAGTAAACATTAACTGTTTATTACTCCATGAATATTTATTTGATTTTCCTCTGTTTGTGAAGAACACAATTAAATCATCAAACAGTAAAAAAATAATTCAAAAGCTTTTTAAGTGAATGGCCAATTTTATTTTTCGTTCTTGAAAGAGTTTCCTCCACTAACATGATGAATGCGATGCCAGCGTCGTGTGGTGTTGTGTATAGTGAAAAGGACTAAAGGAAAAATGATTCAAATGAATACAAAATTAGAGTATACACAATTGATTAATTATTTCCAATGACTCGGAACCGATTAATGTGCTGTCCCGAATAAATATAAAATTAGGGTCTCCACTAATTAATATATATAAAATAAAATTAAACATTAAGTTTGATTTTGGTTCTAGTTTTCAATTCTAGAACAAGAATCAAACCAGAATCAAAACCAAATGGCTCTCGGTTCAAAGTATACAAATCATTATTTTTTTGGTAAAAAGGAATCAAATAGCTCGATTTGGTTCGATTCTGATTTGGTTTGGTTTGATTTGGTTTGGATTGAATTTGACATTTTGTCCACCTTTAGCTTGAACCGAGCGAGCAAAAGCTCATCCAAAAAATTTATGCCTTTTTTAGGAAATTTGTGATATCCTAAAATTTTTTTAAACAATATAAATTTTATGCAATTTATACAAAATATAAATTAAATAAAAATTACAACATTTCTTCTTTTTTTGCTTGGGATCAACTACAATCAACATAGGCTAAATTAAAATTGTACATGAATAAATATTTCGTGTAAAAATTTAAAAATTACATAATTTTTTTAAAACTTATAATTTAAAAAAAAAAAAAAAACTAATTCTAAGATGAATATAATTATTGCAAGGATATTATACCTGCAGAAAGTCCGTTGGATAGAATTTTTATTTCGGCCTTCAGTTCACGAATAAATCTCTGCAACCCATATTTGAATTTTATATTCCTATTGACGCTACCAAAAATCGTACATGTTGATTTTCGAGTTTTGTGATTGAGAATAAGCATGAACAGAGTCTTTTGGTACCTGAAACAAAGGTTTCGAAGTGTGTTCTCGTCGTTCCACCGATTCTTAAGTTACGGCCTTTTCATTTTTTTATTTTTATTTTTTGTTACAGGTTGCTTTTGTTTTTTATTGCCTTTGCCCTCATGCTTGCATTTTAAATAACGCAGGCCACCCCCCGAGGCACATCCAAGTTGGCAAAGGAAGGACAGTGCGGGGCTCGCAACCCCAGCGTTGGGAGTTCGATTCCTGATTGGTGCAGCTGAGTGTTTGTAATAACCAACTTGGTTGGAGCAGCTTGGTGATGTAATAATCATGGAGGAGGGTCCCTTGGGGTCAGGAGTATAAAGGTTGTTCGAACCCTGGTCAACTTGGGCATATACCGCGATTTACCTCCACCAGTCACTGAGGGGCCGGGGGCTGAGGGTCCAGGATATAGTCTGACGAAGCTGAAAAACCTGGGTATCAAAAAAAAAAAAAATTAAATAAATAACGCAGGCCAAAATGGTCAAGCCACATGGATTGGCTCAAACTCGAATAGATGTCCAAGAATGATGCTCTACTTGAGCCTCAGCTCGATCCCTCTGAGTAAAAAGTCGGTCCGGGTCAAGTCATGGACCGTCGAGTCCACAAGTCGGATTGACATTCCTACTTGACACTATAAATTATTTGGACGCCCGAACCTTCGATAGGATTCGGCCTAAATGTCAAAAGAGCCAACCAAGTCCTACTTTTATCATCAAGTTTTCCCTCCAGTTCACTAGAATTTTTTGAAGTTAGATTAGAAGAGACCTTTCTCACCGAATAATTCATGTGCGCCATTTAATTGCCTTTTTCAACAATCCAACGATCAAACCTCGAACCAAATTCAAGCAAAAGGCCAATCAAAGGCTGGCTATAAAAATTGTATAAAGTCAAGGGAGAAGACTGACAGAGAGGTTGAGTGACTTTTGTTTAAAAATAAATACTGAAGGTTATATTTATTTTTAATGTGAATTGATTTATTTTAAAAGTATAAATCAACATAAATTACATATATAGAGGTACAAATATGAAATTCATTTTGTTCATTTCAATTGAATCGATCCAACTTTCCATTTAATTGAGATAGTGATAGACATTTAAGAAAAGAAGATAGACCTAACTTGACGAAGGCTCTATTGATTCATTTCGACAAACCCTGAAAAAATCTTAAGACTCTTATGTTAAATAAATTTTCGTAGAAATAAAAAAAAATCTACTTGTTACCAATTAAGATTGCTTTTGGTTGGCAAGTTTCATTATTTTAATTTTATAATTTGATGTCTTAAAATTTCGACCTTATTAAAAGGAATAAACCAAATTTTTATAAGTTAGATAATATTTTTGTATCAATATTAAAATCTGAATGCTCATTTTGAGCTTTAGATAGATCGATTTGTTCATTTGAGTTTAGTGAGCTCTTATATGACACATGAATTTCAATTTTAAACTACCTTATTAAGAATAATAATTCAAACTTTATATGTAAATTAATATTTTTATATTTATTTGATATGAGATTTACCACTAACAACAAGAACCATGCCAACAAGTTCCTCTTTTCAATATGTTTCTGGCATTTGATTAAGGCTTGCTTCAGATCCATTATTAAAAAAAAAAAAAAAAAAAGAAGTTTTGTATTAATGATTTTTGGAGAATGTGTGATTAAAAAATAGGAAAAATGTTTTGAATTTATGTTTAAAATTATTTTAGAAGAATGTGTGATTGAAAAGAGTTATGCTATATTGACAGAGGGGGTTGACAAATTTTGATGACAAAATCACATTCGCACAAATCATTTGAAAAACATATTTTTAAATCATTCAAAATTAATGGTCTGAATTTTGTTAACACACTTTGTAACCCAACTTTGTACAAACAGATTTATTGAAATGAAAATGAGCAAATTTTTGTAAAAGTCAAAATGGGTAAATCAAGTATTGATCCCTCAATTCTCATATATTTGCAAAATCAGCGCTTTAATTTATTTCGTATTTTTCCTCCTCATTGCATCTTAGTCGATCAGTTGGAGGGTTTTTTTTTTTTTTTGTGAGTAAAGAAGTCAAAATGACTTTTGAAATAGGAAAATAACGATAAAAAAATTTGATTTTTTGTGATGAAAAATTACTACCAAACAGGATCTTAGTCTCATGTGTTAGATCTTATATAAAAATATAATATTCGCACCGACATAGCATTTACACCTAAAGTCGCCTTTTCTATTGTATTGTCTTGCGTTTGCTGGTAGGTGAAGTTGACTTTTGACGATAAAAGATGCTTAGCCCACGATCCAACCATTTACATAGAGAAAAAATTACAGTTGAGGTCTTAATTTATGAATGTTGTAGCAAATAGGTTCTTAATAATTAATTCTTACCATATAAGTGTTTAACATTTGTGTCTCCTTATAAAAACTTTAAAAAAATTTTATAAGTCCATGACTTTTTCTCAAATTTTATACAGGGAGATATCTACTATACAAGTGGTTAACATTTGTGTTTCATTATAAAAACTTAACAATACTACGAAAAAGATCATGTACTTGTAGCAAAATTCAAAAATTAAATTGTCAAAAAGAAGATTACATTCTTATTTTCAATTAGGCCTCCGTTTGTTTCTTATTTTTGAAAGAATGAGAATGAAAAATATAGTTGTTATGGGTCCCACACTAGAGATAGAAATTCAAATTTTGTGACTTGATGTGATGGATAACGGTCATATTTTTTATTTTAATGAGGAAAAAATAAGAACCAAACAAGGGCAGTATGATAAACAAATAAAAGAGAGATTTTTCTACCTACCAGACACTTCCTCTTGCCACGCCTTTTTCATGTAGCCCCTTCGCTTGGCAGGGATTGAGGAGAGTAAAGTGGTGGACGAACCTGGTGGGAGGTTTAAGAAATATGGCAAGATTGTTGTGCAATTATGGGGGTAGTTGGAATGGAGATATGGAGGATCGAGAGAGACTTGTAGATAATATTTTCTAAATTCGACAATGCTTCTTTTATTGTTAAGCAAATTGAGTAATAATATTAGATTCAATCAAGTACTTTCTAGTCTTGGGGTGCTACCCTTTTGGGAAGGGATTGATGTATATAACAACCTCTTTTGGAGAATTGCCAGGGTGCTGAAATTAATAATTAATCAACCACAACTTGCATGTCGTAGTTGCTTGCTTCTTCTTTTCTTTTTTATTTATTTATTTAATTATTTGTGGTTGTCTATAATATCATTCCAAACATTGTCTACATAACTTGTAAATGACTTCTTAGCATTGAAAATGTGCAGTTATTGTCCACTGGGGATCAAGCTCCTATAAATTTTGAAAGTTTGGGATTCAGCATTCAAAATAATAGATTGAGGACTCGTTGACAAAAATCATGCATTCAAATAATTATAATAGTGCCATTGAAATCCTATCAATTATGAAGGAAATGGGGATGGAAGTTAAAACAAGGTATTTGTTTGGTAGGAATTTTAATAATTGATTTTTGATCGTTAAAAATAAAGTGGGTTTTATCCATGAGAGAAGAATTCAAAAATGACGGCTAAAATAATAAAATAGCGGTCAAAAAATTGATTTTAATTGACTTTTAAGCTGTACCAAACAAGTTCGAGGTTTTAGAATTTGAACAGCCCAAAATGTCTTATATAATTGACATATTTTAATCAAGTTGGTGTGAAAATAAGAAATTTTCTTGCTTTCAGAATGGTTTAGCCTATTCTATACAGGAGGCTTTTAGCCTCCTAATTCTTTGCGCTCTCAAAAGAGATGTTTGCTTTTGTTTGTTTGATGCTTTTGTTCTACTCTTCTTTGGTCACCACTCAAGATCTGTCTCATGACTATGTTTTACAAGGTAAAAACATCATAATATTAGCCGGACAAAGCAATATGTCTGGTCGAGGAGGTGTTATCGACAATAGATGGGATGGTTTTGTTCCTCCGGAATGCCATCGGAATTCATCGATCCTCCGGCTTAGTAAAGGGCTTACATGGGAAGAGGCGGAGGAGCCTCTCCACCGTGATATCGATGTAGATCGAACGTGTGGAGTAGGGCCAGGGATGGCATTTGCAAATTTAGTTTTGGCAAAGGATCCAAGCCTCGGGGTGATTGGTTTGGTCCCTTGTGCTGTTGGAGGAACGAATATAAGCGAGTGGAGACGTGGCAGTGTCCTCTATAATCAGCTCATTAACAGGGCTAATACAGCGTTACAAGATGGAGGAATAATTCGAGCACTTTTGTGGTATCAAGGTGAAAGTGATACCGTAATTCACAGCGATGCTAAATTGTACAAGAGGAGATTGGAGAGATTTTTCGATGATTTACGATCTGATTTGATGTCTCCTACTCTTCCGATAATCCAGGTAATCTTCTTCAAATGAATAGTATTTATCTGGGAAACTGTTAACAAGTAAGATTCTTGAAAACCCAATTGGAATCAGCAACTAGATTATGTACTACAAACGTGAACTTAAATTTTTAGCTTTGTAGATTAAAATTAGATTTTTAGTATATTTGATTAAACAAGTTTTGGGTTAGTTAAAATTAATTATTGACTTTAATTTGATAATTTTTATAGTAAGTGAATTTGCTCCATTGCTTGTGATGCAGGTGGCATTGGCATCAGGAACAGGACCTTATATAGAGATAATAAGAAAAGCCCAGTTGGAAACCAACCTTCAAAATGTGAAATGTGTTGATGCAAAGGGATTACCATTAGAGCCTGATGAATTGCACCTCACAACTTTGGCACAAGTCGAGTTAGGTAAAATGTTGGCTGATGCCTTCCTTCAAAATGTTCCTGTACCTGTTCGGAGTAATGCCCCAAAGAGGTTCAACAATTTTTTTCTTGACTTGCTTCGACCACCATTTTGGTAGATCTTGCACACGATAGCATAAATATATTGTGTATTTTGACACGAATGTGTTCTTCTTTCTTGATCTACTTAGAGCAGATACACCTAATACACCTATGAAATTAGTTTTAGCACTTGTATTTCCGAACATGCTACAAGACCATGTTTTTGATAGTCCAAAAATATTTTCTCAAATTTTGAGAGAAGAGTTCAAATAAAAGCAAAGTAATCCATTAATGTTCACATATTCTAGGTAGGCATTAAAAAAATTTAGTTACACATTTTTTTGCTTTGCGAGAGCTGCTTTATCGCACTTCTTTACAAGCAAAGTAGTACGAGAACGATCAAGCTACATAACGATAGTACTATAGATAATATTTACTAAAATTTGGTGTGAAGCTCATTCAAACTACCATAATCTAGATAATTGCATCGCTTGCCAATATATTTGGCTCCTGTTCGACGTATTAGCAATTTTTTTATGATGAAATGTGGTTGAAAAGTTGTTGATCCAATAAAATGTGTAATCAAAATTAATAGTTAATTTTGACTTAAATTTTTATAAAATGTTTAAGTTAGAACAAACAGGGGCTTGATATAAATATCAGGAATTAATGGTAAATTGCCAAAACTGTTCGTAATATGCAAATTTGGAGTATCATACAAATATAATGGCTATAATGAATAATGTTGAAAAGCACATTTTTTAATTTTCTTTCAGTAAACAAGTCTTGTTTTGAGTTAGTAAAGTTTAAAAAAAATAAAAAATAAAAAAAAAATAAATAAAAATTCTTAAAATAGCCTTAAATCAAAAGAGACTACGTATTTTTTATTTACTCATTGTACTTGAGGTCTCTTGATCCTTCAACTTCACCTTAAGTTCGACTAGTACATTTTCTTAGAAAAAAAAAAAATGGTACCACCGTAGGAAGGAATTTTAAATAAAATGCAAAATAATAACAACAACAACAACAAAAACAACAACAACTACTACAACAACAACGAAAGAAAGAGAAAAGAAAAAGCTTGAGTTGAGGGAAATGATTTTAGATGGACTTCAATTCAATTAGTCAAGCAATGGGTCACTAAAATTGTTTTAACGAAATTTGTTGACCCCAAAAAATGTGCCAACAGGTATTGCGTTCCGTTGAAGTGCACGTATATAGATTTAACACGCGATCACAAGTGATGAACTGATAGTATTCCAAAAGTGCGAATATTATGGCGGTTGTACGTCATTAATTGAATGCTTATTAGGACTCCGGTATTTGCCTTGTTGAAACTACTATGTTATAATTGCTAATCACAGACGAATCAATAGGAAATAAATAGAGTGAGTGTGGCGGTGTAAATGTTAATTTTCACAAGAATGAAGAACAAGTATTTTGTAGTATCAAGAGTTGCATTATTCCCTTCTA